ATTAAAAAGAAATTAGTGGGTGTTTTTTTTTACATTTGTATGAGGGGGGGTTCCAAACACAGGATCTGCCCCAGTTGCCAAGTGCTCTAGGTACGCCCCTGATTCTTATAACATATATAGGTCTTCACCAGAACGCATGTATGAAATATAGAGCAGAATATTGAAACAATATATAGTGTAGCATATAATACAGCTCTTGATAGTTATATAAATGTATAATACATGCACTCACATGATTTAGAGCCTTGTGTGGCTCCAATAAGGCAGAGTAAAGTGGTGCAATCCCCACTCTGGGGTAATATTCAGCCAGATGTAATCAGCAGTATTGTGTTAGACAAAAAAAAAGACACAAAATAGTGCTCTCTGTAGACAAAACCGTGTGGAATAAAAAAATAAATCCTGCTTCCATATTTCTGAGCAAATTGATCAACACAATCTACAAGAAAGGTAAAAAGTAACTATAAAAAACAATAAAAAGTATATAAAAACACTAATGCGTTTCACCTTGTCAAAAAGGCCTTTTCTCTGTATTACATATGCACTATCTGAAGTGCAACCACCAACCAATTGTAAATAATATCTACAAAATCCCTAAAAATATTCCAACCTCCAGCTCCAACAGCTTAAAGGGACACTATAGTCACCAAAACAACTTTAGCTTAATGAAGCAGTTTTGGTGTATAGCTCATGTCCCTGTAGTCTCACTATTCAATTCTCTGCCATTTAGGAGTTAAATCACTTTGCTTATGAACCCTAGTCACACCTCCCTGCATGTGACTCGCACAGCCTTCCTAAACACTTCCTGTAAAGAGTCATCTAAGGTTTATCCTTCCTTTATTGCAAGTTCTATTTAATTTAGATTTCCTTATCCCCTGCTATGTTAATAGCTTGCTATGCCCTGCAAGAGCCTCCTGTATGTGATTAAAGTTCAATTCACAGAGAAAGAGATACAATTGTTATAGATAAATTACATCTGTCTGAAAGTGAAACCAGTTTTTTCCCATGCAGGCTGTGTCAATCATCGTCAGGGGAGGTGTGACAAGGGCTAGAGAAACATAGGGAATTAAGTCCTAAAAGGCACTGAATTGAGCAGTGAAACCTGAGAGGCATGATCTATACACTAAAACTGCTTTATTAAGCTAAAGTTTTTTAGGTGACTATAGTGTTACTTTAAGATACGGAACTTAAAAGGAGAATACGTAGTTTCTTGTTCATTCAAAGTGACAAACATGATATTGTCACAGTAAAAACCTGGCAACACGGACTGTGTATGACAGAGGTATGCTTTGCACACCATTAGACCTTTGGATGGTCAAATAAACTGAATAAACGATTTGTGCCACAAACTGGAATAGCAAATCATTAAACCATTACAAATGGGCAGAGTCAAATTAAAATATAGATAAAATGTAGATATTATGTGGAATCTTGCATATTCTATTCACATTAGACACAGGCGTCTAGAGTAAGCATAAGTAACGATGGTATCAGTAAGTCACATGGCTTTCTTTGTCTGAACCAGTAGGATTCATATGAATGTATTTGATTTGTGTAACTACACAAAGAAAGGTTTCGTCACATACATCATTTATTTAACTGGAGTGTTGGCGATAGGTTAAAAACTTTTCTGATTTTAAAAACAAAGACCCTATCTCTCCTGAGTTCAACAATTAAAATCTGCTGTTGAACATCCATCATCCTGTAACATCCTTTGTTATTTTATTTTATACTAGTAATTATAAGGAGAATAAACCTAAAGAAAACATAAATTTCTAACAGACACACAGAAGAATTATAATATATGTATATTAACATCATGGCAAGCCAACCAACAAGAAGAAGAAAGAAGATAAATGATTTTAGAAATAAGACTGATTTTCCCCCACCTATTAAAATAATATATTTTCTGGAATGGAAAGCAAATAAGTACTTAAAGGTTTACTCCAAGCAACATTACCACCTCATTGATTTGAAGTGGTCATGGTGCATGTAGTCTGTATGTGTAAAGTTATGCTATGCACAGAGATTAACACCTCAACTACTGGAGGTGTAACCAAGTTCAGGTCTGGCAAATATTATTTCTGTACAAAACTGGAGTCTGATACCAGACAGCCAATGGCGGAGTGTGTTAAGAGTTTGTTCTCTTTTTTTCATTTTACAAAAGGCAGACTTCAGGAGTATATTGTACTTTTCAAAATTAACCAGGTTACACCCCCTGGCTGTCAATTGGACAACTGGGCATTTTACTTTGTGAATGCTTAGCTCAGTGGAGCAAAACTCAAGAGGTAGGCACTTGCTCAATGGGCTGCATTGGGAAGTATGTGATTGGACAGCCACAGAAAGTCTGGGTTAGGTTAGGTTAGGTTAGAAGGGGAGGTTTTTCATTAGTGTAGATCTACTAAATAGATTTTTTTTCAGCAGTGGGATTTCGCTCAAAAAGAAAAAATGAAGAAGATTAAAAAGGGGGAGAAACCCAACAACAAATGTGTGAAGACCTAACCAAAAACACAGAGGAAGCTGGAGGAAAGTTATCCGGACTCTAAACATTTTGGTACCAAGCCAGACATAATAGGTGTGTCTGGCTTCCCACCTGTGGAAAAGCTGTTCCACTAGTAATCTTGATAATTACTTTCCAAAACACAGACTCCAGATGAATCTTGGTCATACCACATGCCACAAATGCAAACAGAGTGTGTGGTTAAAGACAAGATAAAATTTTGAATTGTAAAAATGTACATATTTACACAAAATTATGTTCTTATAAAAGTTATTTTTTCTTTTACATCTGTTCTGGCTTCAGTCATAAAGCAGGGACAGTTGTTTCCTGAGAAGATATTTTCCTGATACGTTGCTGCTGGACTCTGTTTTCTCCTCTACAATGCTCTGGTTACTTTTCACCACAATTCTAGAATGCGATTCTTAGTAGTGCTCTGTTTTGGAGTGGTTAAATCTACTTCAAATCCTAACAATCTAAAGCAGAGCAAAACAGGACAAGCAATGTCAAATGTAAAGTAGATTGAAGCCAAGAGAACACATGCCAAACCACGACTCTTTGTATATTTGCCGACTCATCAGCTGGAACCTAGTATAGCACGGCTTCTTAACGAAAACTAAATCAACTTATTCCATGTACTGACACCTATAAAGTGGTTTATATCTGCAGACTTCTTTTCATGTGTTCTTGACGATCTTTCAGATATCTGAATACACGCTATTATATACAAAATAATCAACACAACTTTTGGGAATTAAACACAGTAAAGGAGGAGAGTATATTTAAAAGAAGAAAAACAACCACAACAATAGGACGTAGTCTTAGAGGGACAAAGGTTTAAAAATAATATCAGGAAGGATTACTTTACTGAGAGGGTAGAGGACGCATGGAATTGCCTTCCAGCTAAAGTAGTAGAAGTTAACACAGTGAGGGAGTTTAAGCATGCGTGGGAGAGGCATAAGGCTTTCCCAGCTATAAGAAAAAAAAATTAGAAAATTGGGCAGACTAGATGGGCCGAATGGTTCTCTGCCGTTACATTCTATGGGATTGGAATAAGGCAGTTTTAGATATATGATAAGACCACGGACTAATGAAAGTACATCTGTGAAACTGTGCTGTGTGATAAAACTGCACATTTTAGAGTGGCCTTTTATTGTGGCCAGCCTAAGGCACACCTGTGCAATAATCATGCTGTCTAATCAGCATCTTGATATGCCACACCTGTGAGGTGGATGGATTACCTCAGCGAAGTAGAAGTGCTCACTAACACAGATTTAGACAGATTTGTGAACAATATTTGAGAGAAATAGGCCTTTTGTGTACATAGAAAAAGTCTTAGATGTTGGAGTTCAGCTTATGAAAAAAATGAGGGCAAAAACGAATAAAGTGTTGCGTTTTTAATTTTGTTCAGTGAATGTAGAAAATTGGGCAAACTAGATGGACCGAATGGTTCTTCTCTGCTGTAACATTCTATGTTACTGTGTTTCTATATATATATATCTAGGTCCCAAAATGGTTGAAACTGTACAATCCATCGCTGGTTTCTGGCCAACGCTCCTTTTGGATCATAATCTATGTTATGGTTTAAAACAGTTGTTTTTAAAACAGCGTCCATTGCTAAGGGAACCTGCAACGTTTCTGTGATATTTGCATATCAAGCCGGGAACTCTGGGATACTTGTGGAGACACAATTTTTCGAGTTTCTGTGCCAAGGGGGTCTTTCCAAAGTTTAACGTAGAATATACAAGTGATGCACTACAGTAAATTATGTTTTTTTCTATATAAACACAATGGAAAATCTGCATAAATTCTTACAGTTTTATGTTACACTTGTGTACCATATGTTCTATTCCATTTCACAGGTAAGAAGTTTAGAATTTATAGAGGGCAGCCTGCTTGTATAAAGGGACAGTCAAGGACATGTAGAAAGATTAGGATTGGTGTAGCATTAGATGTAGCAAACTAAAAACACAACTTGGGAGAATGAATAGAATGCTGAATAGAAGCTTAAATAAAAAATTAATTCAAAATATGTATCTTTACCAGAGATCAAATTCAACTGTTGAGGTATGAAAAGCACTTTGATTCCAGTAGGATGTTGCAAATACAAGGCATATTGTTTCAAACTTAAGCTTGTTCCTTTGCACTTTTCGAACATATAATCAAAATGCATCAATGGTTTACAAGTACAGTGAACACTCTGCTCTTTAATTCAAGGATGCTCATAAAAATTGCACGCTTTAGGGCTCAAAGCAATAAAATGGTATCTGCAGCTATCATTATATCCAATGCCGCAGCCTTTGAGGTGAGCATTTCTCTCATAATTATCTTGGGAAAAAAATAGAGGGGTGTCGATCTTTCTTACAAATTTACCGACAATTTATATGCGAAGTGTGAATTGATACCTCTGAATTAAAATTGTACACATTTACAAAATATGAATAACTGCCGTTTATTATTGAGGAAAAGGGAAGCTAAAGAGAATGATCTAATACTCCGGTATAGTGGAGGGGATGGAACAAATATAAATTCTTAAATAGGTTCTAGAGTCTTAAAAGATTATGAGGTAGGAGGTATTGAAGGTATTAGACATGAGTAGGATGAAATAAAAGGACTATACAGAAAGTGGTACAGACAGGTACATTCTTCCAAAAGGTAACATATGTGCTATAGATAAGAAGTATAATTCATGAGAATTGGTCTCCTTCCACAGGAGTATGACTGGATGTCCTGGCAGCTAGTGTGGTCCTACACGCAGAAACTATGTAAACATATACATACAAAAGAAAAGGTAAGCTCGTGGTGTCGGCGAGACCTTGCCGGTCGGGTACGGCTGCGGCACCCAGCGGGTCGGGAGCCGCAACACTGGAGTGGTGTGATCTTATCTTTTCTATGTGTGCTAAAAAATATACTTTTATGCAAAACTAAATCTCTATCAGTGCTGTATCTTTATTTGTTTTGTTGCATTTTCTACATTAAGAATTTGGGGGCTTGCTCTCAGATACCATCACCACCAACTCCTGAGTGCCACCTTATACCCGATTATTGATTGTAATTTGGTACTTCTTAGATAGAGGAAATGTGAACAGCAATTTTGACTAAAATAAAGATCACACTCAAATTGAACCTCAAGTTGGGTTGATGGTCGTACCATTGACAGGCTGGTTGGTTGTTTTGATATTTTTTGCGTTTTCTTTAAACAGCCAACCAGGTGACAGGATAAATCAATCATGGCATCCGTAGAAAAGTGAGAACTTCTGTCCTCAATGTCAACAGCGTCTCTCTTTAAGTACTGACAAATAAAGTATCCGGAAGCTGTGCTACCATAAATACAATTTCTAGACTTTCCCGCATGCTCAAGACTGCAAACCAGTCCAATCAATGGCTGATGTCAGCAATATGTTCAACAGATCTTCTTGAACAAGAACACAGAAATGCCAGACACATCTCTGGCTTTTGTTGCAAATGTTATATGATTAGTACTATTACTGACTCCAGCTCCCTTCTCAATACTCAGGCTGAAGCTACTAGAATACAAGATCTTTTGGAAAAACTGACAGAAAGATTTGTAGAAACATTGAATTGAATTGGACAAAAAAAAAAAGGTTTGGTGACTACAGTGCAACCCTGCGCCTCGATTCCATATTAAACTGAAATGTGTATTTTAAGACATAGAAATGAAGCAGACTGTATGGATGTAATTGCTATTAAGTTGTAGGTAACTGGAATCTAATTGCATGTGGTTCCTAGCACTAAATTCTCTGGATTAGGTGAAGGAATAAATTAACAGGATTGCAGTAGGAATTAATAAGATATAGGGCGGGATATTAATTCAGGGTCCACTTCCCAGCACATGCACCTACATCTTCAGACGTTAAAGCTAACAGTACAAATTATAACTGCATATTGCATGCTGAGACTTACTAAAACTCTCACCTGTCACATCCAGGAAAAAAATTAAAATTAAATAGCTTCCTAGGTTGATGTGGTAAATCAAAGAGACCATAGATACCTGAAGATTTTCTAGTGCAGGGGTGCCCAAAAGGTAGATCCCCAGATGTTCTAAAACTACAGCTTCCACCCATTGTACAGCGATACGGAACTTGCTGGCACTATATAAACAATAAATAATAATAATAATAATAATAACTGTAAAGGCATTCTAAAAGCATCACGGGAGACGTAGATCTGGGGATCGCCTTTTGGTTCACCCCTGAATACAGATGTATTATCTACATGTGGGAAGTAAGTAAGCATCATGCTAATATTAACAGACTGCAAGCCAATCGATTAGGAATCTTACAGCATATGAGTTCTGTATACCCCAAGCAGTAGTTGTCATGTGCTGCCCCTCAACAACAAAAAGCTATTTGCATTCTGTTCTGCAAATCTCAACCTCCAAATACTCTGTTTACATGTAAAATAGGATTAAACATTTGAGGTGTGAGAAGTATTTTCTTAAATACATATAAGTGATATTCACTCATTGTAATGGAAAATAGGGTGCAGTTATTTTAACTACAAATTTATGTCAATAAAAAGAATACAAAAATACATGTTTCTTACAATATTACTACAATAAGGTCAAAGTATTCTCAGTATGACATATCTATTACTTCTTTCAGGGTTAATCATTAAAATTAGAATTGTCTGCAATATAAAATAAATGTAAAACTTAAGACTAAAGTAGCTAAACAGAAAGCGTAGGTGACTTGGATATTATTTGGAGTTTGGCTATTTTGGCCTTGCCTTTGAAATTCACTCTAATTTCTTGACAATTCCCACTATAGTGAATAACCCTGTTAGTCACACATTCTTCAAGGTTAATCCAGTCTGACTAATAAATTCACAAATGCAGATATGTAATAATATTTTCACTAAGTGTGTGAAGTTGTTATTAGGCTGCCTCAAATATTCCTATATCAAAATTTTACAGAATGGATTTATGCAAGAAACAGGAAAATATGACAAATAAAAACTTTAAATTGAAAAACTTTGGGAAAAGTGTACTTTAGCATATTTTATTATTTTTCAATTTCACTAAAAGCAAATAGCATATTTTATTATTAACAGTCACTATTAAAGTAAAAACATTGTGTCTGGGATAATGGGCAAGAGCTCCGGACCTCCGTGGGCGCTGCGCTGGGTGCTGTATGTGCATAGTGCGGTGTGTTCAAAGGAATACCTTGCATTGGGTGCTCTGTGTGCCAGTGAGGGTGCTCTGCAATGGGTGCAGTCTGTGCCAGTAAGGTAGCTCTGCAATGGGGTGAGGTTGCTGTCTGGGCCAGTGAGGTAGCTCTGCAATAGGTGCTGTCTGGGCCAGTGAGTGTACTCTGAAATGGGTGCTGGCTACACCGACGAAGGTGCTCTGCAATGGGTGTGCACCATAATAGCAATGCAAAAAACACTATAATGCACGTGAACGAAACGGTAAATAATAAAATACGCTAAAATACACTTTTACCAAAACTTTTTTTTTTAAATTGCTGCATTAGAAAAAATATATTAAAAATCGCCTTAATTTTATAAATTTCGATTTTGAACTTCACCATAATGTACAGAATAAGTGAATACATTTTGATTTCAATAAACAACCATTAAAGAAAAAAACCCCAAAAAACCCCATAAAATTAGATGCAAATAACATTTCTATTGTGTGCACAAAATATAAAGTTCTAATGTAGCAAATATAGTAACTGAGTATAATAGCATAAAGAACACTCTGCCAGAATGGAACATTAACAAAAGACTAAAGTGCAGGCTCTGCATGGTGCTTGTATGCAAATATTCAGGAGCAGAACAGAGCACGTTGTGTAAAGCAAACAAATCACTGTGTAACCCAATGAATTGGCCAAGGCTGCAGCTGGTCTCTCAATCAGCAGATCACATTGTATGATAGATCTCTTACCCCTGGGCTGGACACAGAAGTTTCCTTGCATGTACAAGCTGTGATCTTGGGCTATAGGAGGTTTCAGGTCCTTGCAGTGCTGAGCACTGGTTTGTAGCCATAGTATCCCTGTATGTTGTGAATGGGGAGTTCAGTAGATGTGGGCTGGGGTGTTGCTGCCTGGATAATTACTGGGCTGGGTGACCAGCTCTGACAGTGCTGCCTCACAGCATTGGAATGTCTGAGCTAACAAGCTAAATGGCTCACTACTGATCAGACAGCCAAGCCATGTGGACAGCAGAGGGGGAGAGATGGCAAGCAGAGGGGAAACCCAGTGTTAAAAAAAAAAAAAGAGGGAGGAAATGTAAATATTTGCACACTCCTGATCTGCCACTGGCATGTAGAAAACTTTATTTTTTATTTATTTATTTTTTTGTTTGTTTGAGATAACTCCATACAAATATGTTAGGTGATAATACAGTAAAAGCAGTTATGGTTAACTTTTTTTTTTTTCCAAGTGTCAGATTACAATTAAGGGAGTAGGACTACTTTCCAAAGTGGCAATGTTCCAAAGGATAGAATTGTTGTACATAGTGTTCTAAATCTGGACATAATGTAACAAAATTGTAAAAAATCTGCAACATCAAAACTTGTTTTCCAACTGACAGACAGGTGCAGATAGAGAGTTCATGTTAGGAAATGGATGTGCAGTTGGGTTGCTCTTCTTAGAAGCATATTTTGTCATGCTGAAGGACAGTACTTGATAAGTGTTGTTTTGCAGTACGCAGAATTCAAATGCTACAAGTGCAAAGCAATTAAGAATTTCAACATATCAAATTGACATCACTTGATAACATTTAGAGAGGAAATACAACTCTTCTCAATTGTATACCTCCCAACAGTCCCAGGTTTGGTAGACAGTCCTTTAGTATTTACTCCTGGCTGACACTCATATTTTGTACCATTCATGTCAACAGCGCTGCAGAATTTGTTGGCGCTTTGTAAATAATAATAATAATAATAATAGAAACTATAATGGGTAGGATTTTCTTAGAACAGAAGCTATAGTATACCACAGTGCAGTACAAACCCACTCAGGTATCTAAAACAAAAACTTCACGTCTGCGTGCACCAACAACAGCCAAGTATAATCTACGGGTAGTAAGAATATGGGCGATCATGGGTTTGTCTACTCATATTCTTGCTATTCTGTGGATTAAATATAAATATGCATTCATATCTCTTAATTTTTTTCAAATTCATCATGTTGCAATTGTTTGAAATATATATATATATATATATATATATATATAATGCTTAAAATAAATAATTATAATATATATATATATATGTGTGTGTGTGTGTGTGTGTGTGTGTTATTAGAACAATGTTTGCATTCTGTCTTAAACGTTCTAGAAATAGGAAGGTTTCACAGAAGCAGTCCTGCTGGTTCAGTCTCTGGGTAATAAAACATGTTTGGTGAGATGGTTAGGGACATGAATTTGAAGAATTGGAAACTTTCTATTTGCTTATTTCCATATGGATGAATCATTTAAAGTCAGCAAATTCTACCTGTACTTCTGATTTCTTCACTTTTGCATTCCCAGGCATTGTGCCTGTTGATCTTTTCTTGGATGTGATCATGGCCATATGGAAAGTGTTTAGCAGGTAATGAAGACACAAATTGAATTGCAATTTTAATAACTGTGAGTCTTCCTGAATGTGTGTGATCCATCCTTTCATTACAATACATGTACCATTTAAAGGGTTACTGTAACTCTATTGAAAGGATGAACCATTCTGGTGTAATATGCCCTACTGGGCACTGTGGGGAAGGTGGGGGTATGGTAGAGCAGTGCTGGGATCTTCACCCATTGCTGGATGCAAGGTGATTCAAGGTCTCTCAATGTGCTG